GGAGTAACTTCTAAAGGGCTTCTTTTTGTTGCTCTAGTTCTGTGCAAGCATATGTTTGTGAGTTCTTTGGTGAAAGAAAGGGCTGGCTGCGGAAAAGATTAGTGATCTGGCCACCATGCAGTTCCAGAGACCTACCAGCCACCAGAAAGTTGCTGAGATACAGGCTGGGAAAGGGGATGTGCTAAGCACTGCATGGATTTGCTGTGTTATGGTCTACATGGAATTAGTTTAGCATTTGAAGCTGCCATAAGTGTTTGATGATCATTAGTTATTGTTCGGATTCTTTAATTTATAACTAGCTATATGGAACCTCTTGAGTGGAGTGATGATGATCATCCAAAAATACAGCTTAATTTCAATGAAATTATCTTTCTTGGACCCTACCATCAATTTTCAAATAAAAAAAGCTGTCTTTCAAGAATCCCAAATTAAATTTGTTTGTAATCCTTCTTCCTATTCTTCTCTCATCTAGCCTTTATTTGATCCAAGTGTTTGGTCAGTCTGGTATAATCGTTACGTAGCTGATTCTTTCCCATAAAAGCTGACATGTTTTAAAAAGGAAGGAACATGAGATCTGACCACGGAAAGGTCATAGTTTTTCATTAATTCCATTTACAGGTTTCTGTAGTTCTTAGTGACTACATCAGCGATGGAGGTATGGAGTAAATTAAGGGCACCATATTTAAAATCAGTAGTCTGGAACAACAATAATAAACTCCAGAGTCTATGTTTCAGAAATTGAGCTTGTCTGACCCTTTCATCTGCTTGATATCATATATCATCCATTAACAAAACTAAACTAGAAGCCGGAAGAGCTTAGCAGATGGGTTCTGAAAGAGCTTCTCTCTAAGTGTTAGCCCTTGTTTCTACCTAAGGCTGTTAGAATGGCCGGCTGTGAATTTCCTATTGAACATAATTCCCACTTTGTCAAAAGAAATATGAAGGTTAGCTTAAAAAGCATTGTTATTATTTTTAACTCCTCTTTAAACACATGAACACTTAGCATTTTTCCTTATTTTCATAAATTTACTATGATTAAAGTGCTGAGTGGAGATCAAACAGTGTGTTTGAATTCAGATCCATCTGGCTGCAAATGCTGAAGTCCAAACTGAAAGTTGCTTCTCATAAAGAAGTTGTGTTACATTGTGTACTTAGGATGTATCACATTGGATGTGTTCACACAACCTGGTTAACTGGATTAACCCATTTATCTGGGCTACGTAAGACATTGAATCCTAAATTAACCAAATGCCTGGGGTTGAACGGCCAACTAAGTCAAAATCAAAACAAAACAAAACAGAAAACAAAATTTTTTCCTTCCCGATTATACCCAGCTTAGTATGTTGTCTGAATAGAGCATTGGGCATTTAACTATTTATTCTTTTATTTCTATTTTACATTATTTCTGTAGTGTCCCAATCATAAGACTCTGGGTAGCTTACAGGTATAAAATAACCATAAAACCCCAACATTATTAAAAGAATGAAAATAAAAGATAAGCCCAGCTGGTATAACATGTTAATGTTATCTCCAATAAGTTAAGATTTAAAAGTCCATGGAAAAAGCACTGTTTTCATTTCTTTACTGAATGATAACAGAGAGAGGGCCACCCTTATATTGGAGGCAGGACAAGCTGTTCCATAGGGCTGGGGAGATATAAAGAAGGGATGTTTGGATCTCTGCCCCCTTAGCTTCAATGAGGTGGGGATGTGCAACTTACCTTCATGAGTCAAATGTGTAGAACAGGCAGATGCTTTCTAGAGAAGACAGTCCTGAAGCTTCCCGGGATCCAAGCTATGAATTTCGTTGTACTCAGAAGCCTATAAGTCACCAGTGCAGTGATGGAAGGAGAGCTGATGCTCTTCTAAATCAGCTTTTGCTTGTCAGCACACAAGACCACTGTACTCTGTACCAGTTGAGGTTTTTGAATAGTCTTCTGTTTAACTTAGTTAACTTGTTGGACAGAGTCATTTTCTTTGTTCCTGTTCTGTTTACCACCATCTATGTCTCGGTTCCCATAGAAATGACTGAGACTAGTTTTAACAGGCCCTGAGAAGATGGATCTACTAGCAGGGGCTCTTGAAGCTCTACTTCTGTCTGCAAGTTCTGGAGAAATGGAGAAAACATCCGAGACAAAGAAATCTAATGGATTTCAGGAGGTGTATCTAGCATCACAACTAAAAGGAGTTAGTATACCCTGATTTATTTTAAACTCTAGATGGATCCTGGAGCTTTCTGTGGAAGATATTATAGGATAGTACTGACAATGGAAGCTGTTCCTCACTTCCTGATCCCATGAGGACTTTTACAGTAGCAGAAGGCATCGCAGTTGGCAGCTGGGATAATGTCTTACTGTTGTGGCATTGTGCTTGATTGTCCTTAAAAGCCATATGAGGAATAGAGAAAGCTGACAATGGAAGTTCCCAAACACTTTGTGTGTTAGAAATGTAATTGTGATAGCATACAACACAAGAGTAGGAAATGACCGTTGGAAAGGTGTTTTTCATTCAGATTTTCCAGTAGAAACCCTTTATGAGATGGGAATTAGTCCCTTTTTATACTCTGCTCTCTCACTGCTGCTATTTTTAGCAGTCTGATGAAGCTCTTGTGATAGGTATTTCACTGCAAGGCACTCATTCACTCTTTGGGAATGTCTTTGTCCTAGTTCGTGATCCACTTTATGAAATCCAGCTGTAGGGATGGGAGGATTTGGGTGTGCTTAGAAGTCAGGACAAGTGCCTCAGTAAGTCTAGGCTGATCTCAAAAAAATTTAGAGGGGTTGGACCTGGTTAATATTTCTGCTAGAAAGGTGAAAAAAAATGTGGGAGAAGGCAATGGCAAACCACTTTAAAAGCTAAGTTGGGTCAGATCTGGTTAGAATTTGGATGAAAGATTAGCAGGGAAATGAGAAAATGGGAAAAGAACTTGAAAAAAGGTAGTGCCAAGCCGTTTTCATTTTGTCATCAAGAAAACAACATGGATGTATTGTTCTGCTCAAAAGCAGTCAACCTTGACTCAGGGATAAGTGTTTTTTTCATAGTTGGAGGAAAATGCTCAAACTTTGCCCATCAGTTTTCTTGGATCTCTCTAGATTTCTCACAGTTTTATGTTACACTGTGCAAAGGCTTCTGTAATCTCTCTGATTTAATGGAATGGATTGGATTCCTTATTCCTTGCATTCCTTGTTCATTTTCTTGGATTGTGTTGCAAGGCTAGGAATTAAATTTTGTAATAATTTCTGTAATGTTGTTGCCTTTGTTTATGTTTCTAGTTGTCTTCAGATTTGCAGCAAGGCACTCTAGATCTTTTTATCTCTTGTTTAAGAAAAATATCGTTGTATTTTGTCTGTTCCTAGCTTGAAGTAGTACTTAGAGGGTGAACTAGGATCAGGAGACCCAATTTCAGGACAACGCTGATCTCTGAAAGACCATTTGAGGCCAGTCCTTATTACTCAGCCAATCCCATTTCACAGGGCAGTTGTGGGTTAGAGTTTGAGAAGGGTGCACTAGATGTGCTGCCTTATGTTCCTTGAAGAACATTGGGATGCCAGTAAAATGAATAACAGCATATTGTGCTGTTTGCAATTTGCTTCGATTTCATGTGTTGATGAATGTGTCTTTTCACATTTGTTTCCAAGATAATTTAGCTTTCTCTTATTCATGTGTAATGGTGTGTTGGAATGACCTTGGGAGACAGGAGGAAGAGCTGCAGACTAGACAGTGGTCAGACAAGCAGCAGCTGAGTCTGCAAAAGCAATGGGAGTGTGGCAAACATCTCAAAAGGGACCCTCCCTATTTTTTTGGGCTGTAAAGTGAGGGGGGAGAGATGTACTTTTAGATTTGCAAGTTTCTGTTAATGTAACCTTACTGTAAAGATAGGGCTAGTACTTCTGTGGGTGCTTCTTGTCTAGGCTGCCTCGCAAGGCAGACATTAATCTTGCAAGTCTGAAAGTACCTCTCTCCCCCGCTTGCCTTTACAGGTAGTCCTCGACTTATAACCATTTGTTTAACAATGAAGTTGTGATGGCACTGAAAAAGTGACTTATGACCAGTCCTCACACTTATGACTGTTGCAGTGTCCCCACAGTCACATGATCAAAATTCGGCCACTTGGCAACTAGCATGTATTTATGATGGTTACAGTGTCCCAGGGTCACATGATTGCCATTTATGACCTTTTGAGCTGGCTTCTGACAAGCAAAAGTGGGGGAAGCCAGATTTGCTTAATGACTGTGTGATTTGCTTAACGACCATGGCAAAAAAGGCCATAAAATTGGGTGTGACTCACTTAACAACTGCATTGATTAGCAACAGAAGTTCCAGTCCCAATTGTGGTCGTAAGTCAAGGACTACCTGTACAGTCCAAGAAACTAGGGAGAGTCCCTTCTGAGATGTTTGTCACGTCTCTATTCTACATGTATTGCTGGTAAAAAGCACTTGGGCTTTGATCACGCAGTTGCAGTTGCCATCTTAACTTTTTTGGCACGGCCCCTGGATACCCCCATGTGAGACACTCAGAATGACATAATAGGACCAAAACTTGACAAATGCCTCCTTTTTCATTCTTTGTTTTTCAAAACATTTTATTGCATTCATAAGCAAGGAAAAGAGCCTTAGAAAAGGTGGCTGTTGGGCCAGCAACATAGGTACTGTTGCATTTTACTGCTAGAACTTAAGGCCAATAACACTGCTAACATGCTTTACCTGAAAACATTTCAAACTTGGGATTTTATATCTTGGCTGCAGTTATCCAAATGACCACTAGGTGGCAGTACAGAGATACCAAACATTTGCTGCCACCTAATGGGGTGCTGGGATCTTGCAGGTCATATACAATAGCCCTAAACTACTAGTCTTTGTATTACAACTGGGTTAGACCAATGATTGTATGCTGAATCTGGTAAATGATGGTGGATGTAGCTTCCTGTTGACCATGAATAAAAATGTATGCTTTTCTCTGCAGTTTTTGACCATTTGTATTTTATTGTCTTTTGGCCATAGGGGCAGTATTGTGACATCTGTTCTTCAGCCAACAGCAACAAAGCCCACCCCATCACTAATGCTATCGACGGGACCGAACGTTGGTGGCAGAGTCCTCCTCTGTCTCGCAGGCTGGAATTCAACGAGGTCAATGTCACCTTAGATCTGGGACAGGTATGTGATGCATTAGATTACCTGCTTTCTACTAAAATAAGTCAATGGGGCGCTTTCTTATAAGAAGAACAGGGGTACGCTAAGGGAAAAAGAGGGGGGTTAAACAAGGAGAGAAGCCATTGATGTTGGCAGGATAAAGAAGAGGAAAAGAGAGAACCAATGTGTATATAAAGAAAACCAAAAAAGCAAAGCACTGGTGTGTTTTGTGACCATCATACTGTAATTAGGATGGAGAAGTTTTGTGGAGGAACTTGTTAAGGAGAAACTGTTACTATGTGCCTGAAATGGGAAAACACGTTTTGTAACTGGAGTAGATCATCAGGTTCTGGAAGTTCAGTAGATGTGTTTTGGGTCAGACATTAAACCAGAACCTTTTCTGCTAGGGCTGCGTAGCTCTCAGCCCTGCTATGTAGACCAAACCAAGAAATCAACTTCACATGAAGGCTAAAACTACTTCTATTAATATTGGCTCTAATAACAGAACCTTGCAAGTCTGACTGTGCTTTATCCCCTCCCCCCAAATTCCCCAAATTTCAATCCCTTGGGAGTAATGGGTCCCGAATTTTGGATGCATTCTGTACGTTAGCCCATTTGAGGTATCTTGGTTCAAAAATGGTTGCCCCGTGATGCACCATTTTGCCCAGTTGAAGGTTACAGACATGAGAGTTTTAGTTTTGTGTGTGTGTGTGTGTGTGATTATCAGTTTGTAAAGGTAGCTGTGAGTGTATTTATTTATCTCCCAAATAAACTTAGAAGCAATGAAGCCATTTCTGACCTAGTTTTGCCATAAGGTACATGCAGAAAAAAAGTATTTAACCTACTATAGCAGGCTTCTTGATCAAGGTACTTGTATTGTTTTAAGGAAGTTAATGGAGGATTTTTGTGGTCACAGATATTTGAAGGTGACTCTAAGACGGGTGGACTTCAACTTCCAGAATTCCCCAGCCAGCAAGGGAGTTGAAGTCCACCCGTCTTAAAGTTGCCAAGGTTGAGGAACCCTGCTCTAAGGCATATTAAAAATTCTGTACCTTCCGTTGATTCACTGATATGCTGTTGGTCTTTAGACAAAGAATTGACCAAAGCGTGAGTCAATTGGGTGCCCACGCAGAGTTATATTGCGGGATATAGAAATAACAGTATCAACTTTTTGGAAAGCGTTCTAAAATTTATTTAGGAACAGTCCCTGGGCTGGAAGCAACATCATGTCACAAGCCCCGCCCCCCTTTGCATGTGTGTGTGATGTCAAAGGGTAAGGCTTGTACAGCACAACAGCACAATGGTGCTTTTGTCAAAGTGATACACTTGGTTCCCTGCATAGATGCCACTGCACCAGCACATAGATCAAGCAGAATGATACAGTGCCATATACTTTGCACTTCAGGTTGTAAGTAAAGGATACCTTCACACGGATTATTTCAAGCATTACTTGAAGGATACCTTCACATTGATTATTTTAAAGCTGGCTGGGGAATTCTGGGAGTTGAAGTCCAGAGATCTTAAAGATGCCAAGGTTGAACAATACTGATTTAAAGCGCTTTATCTTGCTTTTCTGCCCAAAAAGATTCCTGGTGGAGCTTGTAAAAACTAGCAATTAAGGAAATCCTGCCATCAAGTTTATATTGCTTGTCTATTCCCCCTTGGAAAGAAAAAGAAACCACACCTATAAAAATAGTTTAATACGAAGCGGGGTAAACTTGTCACTTTCTGTTTGTTGCACGCAAAGCTTTTTTGTTTGACCCTCCTGTTTGTCTGAATGGTTAAATGGTCCCTAAATGCGTCCCCTGGTTATATTCCATGCATTGAATGGACATACATCATCAGTAAATTACCCTTTAGGATAGGTTTGGAACCTTGCTGTTGATACAGCCTCAAAGAGGGAAAGACATAAAGTCAATATTGGCCCAGCTTTTGTTGTCGAGATTGTGTAGACTGTGGTGCTTTCAAGATATTTTCTTCAAGTATGATGAACAACCTGAAAGTTGACACCTTCCTCAGCAGATAACAGCCAGTTAAGAAGTCACTCCAGGGGGAATTGCTGATACCTTGTAGTTGAGTCTTAAACTTTTGTGGTAGGACCTCAGATATGCAAAGTATCAGGTAATCTACTAATTTTTACTTCCCTTCTACAAATTGATGGTTATGGCCCCAAATGTGAGATATTTTGACATACTGAGATGTTTCATAGGAGAGAAATTAATAGATTCTTTTTTAAAGTGGCTTTATGTTTGAAATATAAGTAAAACCTAACTTACTTGACTTTGTAACAGGTTACAGCACCAGACTGCATGAAAGAAGATGCAATATATAATACAAATACAGTACAACAAAGTAGACAACTTTGCTAAGGAAATGCCCATAAAATAAATCTTCTGACAAGTTGGGCTGCTATTTCCTTTTGCATGGCATCTACTTTATCTAACACTGCTGGGTCCAGCAATGGCTTTTTGAGGAAGGTTGCACCACAACTTCCTTCAAGGTAAATGAGACAACCCTCTGTCTCAAAGATAATTCACCTCTGAACCCACAGTTTGAACCCAGCTTTAAGCAACCAGGAGAGATATGGGTCTAACACAGTGTTTCTCAACCTTGGTAATATCAAGATATGTGGACTTCAACTCCCAGAATTTCCCAGCTACCAGCAGCAGCACTGACATCCTAGAGGACCCTGCCCATTTCCTTGAGATTTACAGGCTCAAACTCCTTGACTTTCCTTGAGATTTACAGGCTCAAACATATAAAATCCAAGTACAAAACATTGATATGCGTAATAGCAACTGAGGTAAACCACAAATGAACAACTTCACAGGCTCCTACAGTCTGAACCCCATGCCCGGGAATGCATTGGGATCTTCAAGGCTTTGCAAAAAGCTGGCAGGGTGGTAGCCAATCTAACTTTGGGGGGAATGGGGTTCCAAAAGGTAGGTGCTGAAACAGAAAAGGCACGCTCTCTGGGTTTGGAAATATGACATGCCTTAACTGACGGAACCCATAACACATCTCTCCTGCCAGGCCCAATGGGACAGATAGAGACAATTAGGGAGAGGCAGTTCTGCAAATAACCAGCTCCATGCCATGCAGGACTTCATAGGTGACAACCAGCACCTTGAATGGGACCTGGAAGTAGACTGGCAGCCAATGCCACTCATGAAGCAGAGGGGCAACTACCTGTGGGTCTGTGAGCCAGCTGCAGCTTCTGGATTATCTTTAAGGGCAGCCCAGCGTAGAGCGCCCTTAAACATTCAACCGAAAGCAATTTTAGCACACCAAAATCCATATTAAAACTACTCTGAACAAGTCTGCCAATAGCGTTTATGATGGCTAAAGAAATGAGGGTTAACAAAGCCAGTTTACCAGCTACCACTGCTTACCATGTCTAAGTTTAAATTTTTCTTATGCTGGCTGGGAAATTCTGGGAGTTGAAGTCCACACATCTTAAACTTGCCAAGGTTGAGAAACACTGCTTTAGGGTGATTGCCCTATCATCGGGGTGGGACAAATAGAAAACACTACCTAGTTTTGAACCTGACATTTGCTTATCCTCTGTCCTGTTTGCGGGAAGAAAAAAAAAATCTCCCCCAAAAGATAGTGCTTCCTTTCTGCAAGTGCTGAAATAATTTCCAGCTGTTTTTACAGTTTGGTGATTGTGGAGCTCCGACTCCAACTGATCATTCAGGGATAACGAGACCACATTTTCATTTCAAAGCAAGCAGCTTTGGTTTGAAACTTGCTAGTTAAATATTTAAACAAAGTCCCAACCCATGAAGAGGTTGGGTAGCTGGTTTGAACAGGGGCCTGGGGACGGGGTGGAGGGAGGGAGGGAGGGGGCAATGGCCATCTCCTGGGAGAGAGATTTTGATTGCTGAAAGACAATAACCCATGCACTCCGCTTTTCTTTCAAATGTGATTGAAGTCGCTGGCGAGAATTGGCTCACTGAATAGGCAAACGGAGGAGGCCAACTTTCCGTCTTGGAAATCCCTGTGTTGGGCATTTGGCTTGAGAATGTGGTTTGGATGACAGAGTGTCAAAAGCCTCAGATGTTCCCAGCATACTAGCTAGGGCAGTGTTTCTCAACCTCAGCAATTCTCAGCTGTGTGGACTTCAACTCCCAGAATTCCCTAGCCTGGGGAATTCTGGAAGTTGAAGTCCACCTCGCTGAAAGTTGCTGAGGTTGAGAAACACTGAGCTAGAGGATGGCCATCTTCAGCCAGTAGACTCTGTTTAGAAAATATTTTTGATTGATTGATTGACTGATTGATTGGCTAGATTTCTCTCCCACTTTGTACAGGCTCTCCTAATGTGCTCCCCTCCTGTTTTTTTCAACCGTGTCAGGAATTCACAGTCGCACCTTTTCCGACTCACAAATGTCATTCAAAGGCATAAGCTGGAAAGTAACCTCCACTTCTCTACACATCGCATTTTATATTTCATATGAGAGCTGGCATCTTGTAGTGAAAAGGGGTTGGACTGGCACTGGGGGGACCCGGGTTCTAATTGCCAAGTCCTTGCTCAGCCCAACTTACTTCACAGTGTTGTTTTATTGGGGAATGAGGAGGAGGCAATACATTCAGTGCCTTGAGCTCCTGTATGGAAGATGGGGTATAAATTTAATAAATAAATCAATACTATAAATATACAGCATAGTGTCTAAAGTCCTTCTGGAACAGTTGGCCTACCTGTTGTTTTTAAATAAATGCAGATTATGTTTCAGCAGTAGAATTCTATCATGCTGACACCTTCTACCCGTCTTTTACAGAGACAGAAGTAAATGAATTTGAAGAGAAACCATTCTCCCTGTGGGATCTAGCAAATTAATCTAGCAGAAGGTTTAAGAAGGGTTTTCAAACTTTTTCATGCTCTGGTTAGTTAAAAAAAGAGTTCTCATGGTTCTGCAAAACACAGATTGAAAAACTCTAAGACATATTAATCAGCTCAGGGCAGCAAACTCCAGCACCGTTGTCTGACACCAGTGCATTGTGCAACAAAAAGGGGAAGATAAAAG